CCCTGGACACAGACAAACTGTTGTGATGATTACCCCCAACTTTTGAACAGTTTATAAAGAGTTTTTATCCCCCTTTAGGGTAAACACGACTTGTTCATTTTCTGGTTGAGAGAAAAACTTACTGACTTGTTCAGTATCTCACCAAATAAGTAGCAAAGTATGGACTTGAATTCAGACAGAAGAAAAATTAACTGAAACTTGGTTATAAGGCCAAGAGCATGTAAAGTCCTTTCAGTATCTGGTTTAACACCCTCCTCCCCACAAGGACAAATAATCTAGGGGAATATACCGTTGTTTGATTATGCTAATAACTAATAAGAGTTTAGACTTTCTGAAGTTGCATGTTAACTTGTAAATTTTTGTTGGGTTAATTTGCTGTTGTGTAAAGAGCAAGTAATTCCTGTTTAGTAGAAAAGAGAAAAACCAAAGGTTACTTGTTCCACAGGACAACAACCAGTTTTCTATTGAACCTGGCCATCTTAAATATTTTGCTTTTTAAGTACCTATAAATGCCCAGTTCTTCAAAATGGTCTTTGAACAAGATTTATCATCTTACTGGTTCTCTCACTAATGAGTTAAAAAATCTTTAACATGTCCTCATCCTATATTTGCATGAGAGCCATGTTTTTAATTTTCTTAAAATTCTAATTCTTAGTATGTCTAAAATCTAGCATTTCTTCCTCAAAAATGGCACCTTTATGGTACCACATCCACACAACTAGCCATGTCTGCTTCGTCCTACCTGCCAAAGAGAATATATTCAACATAAGTGATGCAGACAGCTGGCTATGTGCTGGGAACGTGGGGGCTTCCTCCTAACTGACTGGGCATTTCCACCATTCGATTTTTGGGATTCATCATATATCCATCATATTGACTTCAAAAGGCTGCTCATAACAGATGAGATGGCCTGCTCACCACCCAACACGGAAGGGGCTTTGAACCAAGTTCCTACTGCTGCTGATGGGCTAGACTGACGATGCTCTGAGCTGACTTACAGGAATAACCAACACTTCCTTATCCAGGTTTGCCAACGACAGTTTTGTGAGGTGACTGAAAGCTGAGGGGAGTAGGTTCGGGTCCTGGGACATTTTCTGTCTGGGTGACACTACCCAACTCTCAAGAGAGCAAACCCGTGGCTGAGACTTCATTAGCACCTCACTCCAACTCACAAAATTAACCACTCCAATACGCACAACAAAGAAACACAAGGAAGCAAAAGGTTTAATGGGTCTGGAGAAGGATTTCATTTTACATACTTAACAGGTCACTGACTTTTCATACTTTGTTGAGAGAGCCATCTGAGCCATTAGCAGATCATTTGACCCACTCCCTTTAAAACCTCTCTAAGCTCAGAAAACAACTCAAGAAGCTCCAAGAATAGAAGGTGATCTGGGATTTGAGCCTGACCACTGTCTGCCAGGCAGATTTGCTGGCTGCAGCCTTCCCAGCAGCTAGTGTCTTTCCAGAGAGCTTCAAGCTTGCAGCTCTGCACATTTTAAAGGACTTTCTTCTGCCCGCGTTGCCCCCAGTGCTCCATCTCCATTTCCGTACTGCGTGTTCAGCATCTGCTATACATGCCAGGAACTGTGCTGTGCACTGTGCGGGATATGGGGCATGGAAATTCTGTTCTCCAGGGTCTTCCTGTCAGTGGGAGCTGTAAGACATGTATCTAAATAGCTATCCTTTAGGGTAGAAAGTGGCCAGTAATTCACAAATATTATGAATTTTTGTGCCAGTTAATGTGACTGAGTATACAGTGGAGAGCAAGGCAGATGGGCCCTTGTCCTTAAAAGAAATTCAATAGACATTTGTTGAAGGCAGAAAGGCAGTCATTGTTAAGCCCCTACTATAGGCTGGGCTGTGTGCCAGACATTTTCTCATTTAATTTCCTCCTCACAAGGACTCTCTTTGATAGTGATGTGATCCTCTTTTTTAAAAAATAAAAAAAGAGGGATTCAGAGATGTTAGGAGACTTTCCCAAGGTCATTAAGATAGTGAACAGCAAAGACAGAATTCAAATGCAGAACCATCTGACTTAAAAGATCCTGCTCCTTCAACCTCACTACATTTACCGTTCTCATTTTGGAGCATATCTTCTTTCTGTACAGTTGTGACTGATTCATTTCCAAATTAAGGTACCTCATAGGATACGGGTTGGCAAACAATAAGGCATCCACTGCTAGTCCACTATAAGGACTCACAAAACCATTTACAACCCCCACATTATGTGAATAACGCTTGGATCTGTCTCTGGTTGTCCCTTGATGTTCTCTAGCATCAACTGTTGTGATCCACTTACATTCCTTCTGATAAAATAGGAGAAAAAAAGAGCCGAGAAGAAAGAATAAAAGTGTTTTCCAGAGATGGGAACCCAGCTCTGCCCCCCTTCCTTTAGGATTCCTCCATGAGGGCTGGCCACATACACAGAACAGCCAACCACCCCACAGAGAGCTGAAACCGACACGACTTCCACCCCAAAAATGTCATCCTTCTTCCTCCCACTATTTTGCCTAAACCTAAGGAAATTATTTTAATTCCTTCTCTTTCACTTTCTTTGTGGAAAAAAGGAATTTGGAACTTTCTTAACAAAGCCTTCATAATATCTAAACTAGTGACTCAGAGCAGTCCGCCCCTTCATGCCCACCTCTTCAGCGCCATTTCCCAAAGTGCACCCTGGGTAGCCCGAAAATCACGCTCTGTCCCTCCACCAGCGCCCCTGGGTAATCCTGGGCATCCTTGGCACTCAGCATAGACACATTCTCCACAAAACCCTGGGCCCTCCCGCACTGCGTGCACTTATTGCAGCAGCGCCCCGCCCCCCTGCGTGTTCCCACACCCACCAGCACGTGCATGCATACCACCCACGCACAGTACTCCCTGGGCTGCGTGCCGCCCACCCCTCCGCGCTGCCCCTCGTGTAGCATTGCACATGTGCCCGCTTTGCCAACAAACCCTTCCCCTCCAATGCTCCGTGACAGGAGGAATGTGTCTGGTCTTTGTACTCCCAAACTCTGAGCGCGGTCCAGAAACCCAGTAACTCCCTGAGGAAGGCAAGCGACAAGAAAGAGAAGACTGTGCCCAGCCTCAGCCCGCAGCCCAAACTTGTTGGGCTGGTGTTCATTGGGCCTGGTACAGTCAAAGCTGCCAAGGGAGGACAGGATGAGGCCTGAGGAAAAGCAGGCTGGAGGGACTGGTTGTTCTCTGAGAAAACTGGAGCAGGAGCTTCAGGGCTCCAGTGACAAAGGTCAAGCCATTGCCTAGGAATATTTGCATTACCCAGTGGGGCTGTGAGTATGACTCGGCTTATGGTACTTGCTTCACAGATGGCCCTGGGCCTGTAGGTCGTGGGAGACGGCCCAAGGGGGTCTCCAAAGCAGCTGCCCTGACCAGCATGTACTGGGCTCACGCGAGGCAGGAAATTCCATGCTGTAATGGTTGGACCCATTTTCTTCATTCCTGATCCGTGACTAGGTAGTGAATTGGTCATTAAAGAAACCGTTTAGGCCATCAGGAATATCTGACTGGTTCAAAGCACACAGGAAGAGGAAAATGTAACAGGGCAAAGCTCTAGGCTCAGCAGTCTCACCATCATTTCCATTGCTACCCTGAGGACTGAAAGGAAGTAAAAATGTTTAAAAACCCCCTCTTCTGTCAGCTTTGTCACCAGGATTGGATGGAGCTGGATTCACCACTTAAAGTTACACACTTAAAAGCTCATCTAAGTAGCTGTATCCATGTTACCAAGCTGCACGCATTGATCTGAGTAGACTGGAAAAAATTGCCGCTAGTGTCTGAGGGAGTCAGTGCTTTTAAATAAATGCCTTTCAAAGAATGAGCCATTTAGAAGTACTTTGCATACATGTAGCCCATGAACCTGAAAACAAAAGGAAAATCAGTACTGAATCAGCAACTCTGAGAAGCAGACGGAGAATTCGGCTAGGCTAGCGTATGTAGGAGATGTGATGATAAAGGTAGTGCTATTCAATCTTCATTTCCTGCACAACTAATAGTAGGAGGAAGCAAAACTCATCTTTACATTTGTACATTTTTAAATAAACTAAAGAAAAATAACATCCTTCTTCATATTTTACTCCCTTTTTCTAAAAGAGCTTATTTTGGGGGAAGTTTAAATGTTCCCTTTCCATTCACCAAGAGAATTGCATTACTCTTGCATTTGATCTGGGCAATCTCTGTTTAGTTTCAAATTGAGACTTTATTTCATTTCCAGACATGCACAGAGTGGTTGGTGTCTCTCTATTACCTCTCACTTTCAGAAACACTTGTTTAGTAAGGCAGGAAGCCTGCTGGGTAAATCAAATTGTCTACCTTTCACTCTATATACATCCTTCAGGTATGAGAAACTGAATCTGTACATCTCTTTCTGCAACTATGGTCCAAAATTGTAATGAATCAGTTGAGCTGAAGCACAGGAATGTTTAATAAAAAAACAATTTAAAACAAATTTTTAAGCCCTTCTTAAAAACTTTTTAAGTCCTTCTTCTTTCATTATTAGCTCTGCAGAAATGATAAAATATGCTGGTGTGTTAATATTCATTTACATGGTTTCATTAACATGTCCAAGACAGATAAAAACAAAGAGACACTTCTAACAGAGCAGTTGCTTACAGAATTCTCTATCCTGAAAGGTGGCTCAAACCAAAGAAGAAAGTAACATAACCAAGAAAGAACCTAGTGTCCCCTTCCTTCAAGAGCTTCATATTCTAGCCTAATAAAAATCAATGAGCAGCCCACAGAGTACCCTAGTGGCACCAATAATAGCCATCTCAGTTGAGAAATTTGGACTTGGCTCAGCCCATCTGCTCTCACTGCAGCCCAAAGTTGCCTTTCATTTGGAAAGCATGCTGTCAACTTGGTTTAGAATATACATGGGTGAGGCATATGCTGAGTCTTGCTGCCCGGGGAGATGTCGGCATGGAATGGGAAATCTCTTGATTAAAGCTTGCATTTATGGACTCTCCTCTTCTCTTCTCCCCTAGTTACTGTGACAGTGGGAGGCAAGCAACACTTGCTCGGACTGTATGACACTGCAGGACAGGTACATTTTTATTATCTTGGTTCATTAAGGGTTTGGGAGTTGGGAGAATGATCAGTTTGACTAGCTCTATGGGGACTAACAGTACAGGTATTATCTCTTCTTTCAAAGCAAATTTATTTCTACCTAAATAACAAAAGCACATTAGTTATCTTGTAAATTATTTATAATCACAAAAAAAAATAAAGCAATACATTATTCAAGGTGTTGTTAGGTAAATAATGACTCATTCATTGACGACTATCAATAACAAAATAATACATTTGACCAAGAGTTTCAATTTCTTCCTAGCTACACCAATTCTAGATCCAGGATTAATGAGTCAATTTCATTAATTTTAGTTTCACCCATATTCTTTCTTCATGTTATGTTCTTTGCCCACCCTTTATTTGAATTGCCTAACAAGGTGTGGAAAGTTCCAAAAAGATATAAGGGGTTGGGGAGCGGGAGGGAGGAAGAAGATGGATTAAGGTCTGAAAGGAATAAAAGCCAGGATCCTGGATGTTTTCCAAAAGTGAGGGTCAACTCCTGAATAACTGAGGATTGATTCTAAATTCTCTTAAGATTCTTGAAGCATTCTCTATCAGAGATGAATCTTCAAGTTGCAGAACTTGGTCACCCAGAAATATAAGGCAATGGACTAGAACCATGGACACCTAATCAGTGTCACATGCTCTACTTGGGTGAACATGCCACCTCATTTTTCATTTTTTGTATCCCAAAGTCCACTATGAAAAGTTTCTAATGTTACAAGTTCATGAGTTGGAGGGGAAGTGCTTAAGCAGTTGATGGCTGCAGCCCAATTTCTTTGATAGAGCTTTTGTTACCATATGTCTTGCATCATTTATTTAGATCAAAATCAGCAGGTTGTTCAGTCTGTTCAAATTCATACATCTTAAGTCCCTTGGAGTGAACATTAGACCATGCTCTTTCCCACTATGAGTGTCCTGGTAATTATTTGTAGCTACATACTTGTCTAGGCCTTTTTACACAGTTATCTGAAGATATGTCTTTTTGCTAATTTGAAAGCTCTATACTAGAGAAAAAAAATTAATGGAATTTGTTTTGGGGATTTCTGTGTGTTTTTGCAAGGACCACTGTATAAATGCCTGTGGGGCATCAGAGACCCATGTTGGGCAGACCTCGACAGTGGGAATCCTGGAAAATCTAGCACCACACTCAAGGCTCTTAAGAGTATCCAATTCCTCCTGTTTGGCAGATGACCAGCTACTCTCAGGAACTGGGGAGTAGAGGAGGCCCCTGACATCAATACCAAGACACACACAGCTAGGAAAGGATATGCCCAGGTACCCAAATGGGGAGATCAGTTTGTCTCCTCCAAGCTAAGGTACGAGGGCCTCACTGCAGCTCATGCTTGATGATCCCCCCACCAAAAAGCATTCCAACAAATGGAGATACACTGCTTTTGGGGCCGGGGTTGCCTACTCTCATTTTCAATCACATAGTCATTAGGGTGTCCCATTCAGCAGAACCTCACAGCCTGAAGGAGGGAGGAGTTAGTATCCTTTTCCCCCATAGTCAAATTTGATAAATACAGTCCAGTTTGAAAATTCAGTGCAGCAAGCACTATTGCCTGACTCAAAACTCTATTTCCCTTGCCTTCTGAAAAAGTTCTTTGTGCCCCTCAGGCCCATCCAGTAATCCCCTGTTCTATAACAATCCTTGACAGTTGTTAGCTTCTGTGCATTAATTGCTCCCAGAGCAACCTCCCCAGACCTCTGTTTAATTTCAAACCTAATACAACTGTTTAAAAGCTCTTGTAGAGTTTAATTACTCTTTCCCCCTGCTCTGTCCTCTTTAGGAAAATTTTGAATAACATTAGTATAGGAGTTGAAGCTCTAAGGTGGTGTAAAAATATCTTTAAACTCCAAATTGAAGAAACCACAATGACCCAAGCCTCTGACACAAGAGAAGGTGATGAGCACTGATGACATATAACAAATGGATCATAGATAAGCTTCAACATGACTTTCACTTTAATTCTGTCCACCAGCTACTTTGAAAGCTCAGAGGTGGACAAGATTCATAGAGGAGCATACAGCATGGGGAAAAAGAATCAGAACACATCTTGTTCTTCTAGGCCTAAAATTCTATGATTAGGTCCTTAAAAAGATGACTTGAAGAACGCCTAGAAGACCTGGAGTAATTTAGCAGAATGATTTGAGGCTAAACCCAGGGAAGACTTTTCAGCAGTAAAGGATTGCTAGATACTGGAATATCTAAAAGGTGGCAGGTAATTCATTTTGTAGAACAGTTGTCTTCAAACTTAAGTAGGCATCAAACTCACCGCTGGCCCTGTTAAAATCCAGCCCCTGGGCCCCACCCCAGATTCTACAGTTCTGATATGGGACCCAAGAATTTGCATTTCTAAAAGGTTTTCTGGCAGTCTATTCCCCATCTTTTGAGAACCACTGTTCTAGAACTTTGCCACTCAAAATGGTCCACTGACCAGCAGCATTGGCATCACTGGGGTGGAGGGGGGGGGCTTTTAGAAATGCAGATTCTCAGGCCCCATCCCCAGCCTACTGAATCTGAAAATTCATCTTCAGAAGATCCCCAGGTGATCTGTATGCACAGGACAATTTGAGAAACACTGCTCTAGAAGTCTGTAGTGGCGGAAGCATTGCTCCTAACATCAGGAGGAAATGCAGCAGAACATTTCCATTACCTGATATGATTCCCACCAGTCTACAGCTCTGCCAATAGGCTCTGTAACAAATTTAATTTAGGAGCATTGTCCCAAAATTTCCATTCCCAGACTCAGGTAGGATAATCCACCCTCCTCAGTTATATGCTAGCAAATGTTGCTGAGGTCACATGACTAAGGAACATCTATAACTAATTCAAAAACACTCATTTGGCCAGATTTACTAACAAGAAAGAGAAGTAATCTCAAAACCAATTGATTGACCCTTGAACCACAAAAAGGAAATAAGTCTCTGAACTGAGCTATAGAGTTCCACATTGTGTGAATAATCAGATTTTCTTACATGAATAAGCCAAGGAACAGTGCCCCTTGTCTTTTTCTTGATCCTGCCTGTGGATTAGAGTTGACCAAGACCGCTTCAGGATGCACATTCTGAAAAGTTAAGTGATAGGAACTTATTTCTACCATCAAGGTCAACACTGGACAAACGCATTTGAACTGGCCACTTCCACTTTCTGTACCGAGTCAGCACTGGGCATCACTTCAGCCCCAGCAGCCCCACCTGCGGCACACTCCTGGCACTCCCCAGGCCAGCCAGACATTTGCTAAGCACAGTTTATGATGAAGTCACATGCATGCACTGCCAGTACGTAGCAGCTGCTATTTAATATTAGCTCCTTCCCAACCCCCTGAAACAAACTAATATTTGGACTTGAATGGAATCCTTTGAAAACAAAGAGTCTTCAGAACTCTGGATCATCTGCTTAGGTAGAATTCCAAAAATGTATGTTAGGCAGGGAAGTGAGAGTGTTTTCACAGGGTGCCTGTGAACATTACCCCTCTGCTCACACTGGGGAGGCAATTAGGCCAGACCGGTAAGCCAAATCTGTTTAGGTCGGGCCAGTTCATACTGTATGGCACATGCCCCCAGTAATGGACTACTGAAAGTCTCTCTGAAAGGGATTTCTAGGGCTGAGATCTTTGGCTCAGCTACAAAGAGTCCCAGAGCTGACTTTTCCATGATGTCCTTGAAAGCCAGCTTGTTGGGAGTGTGTCAGGAGAGACCAAGGAGAGTAGGACACTGGAATGGGGATGGTGCGGCAAAGCCTGGGCATTCGCCAGCTGAGGACTGCCCAGCTGAGAGAGGGAGGTCATGGCTCAGAGCCAGGCATCCTCCCACCCTGCTGCCAGCCACCTACAGTGGAGCCAGCCACAGCACTGAGATGTCTGGCCTCCTTATTTCAGTGGACCCGCATCTACACAAGTAATGTGGGCAGAGCCCTGCTCAGACTGTGGCCTCTCAGGCAAACTCCAAGACGGGTGTATCTCAAAGGCAACATTTGCACAATGGCAGCAGCACTGCCAGGGAGGAATGAGATGCTCCCAGAGTCAGGAGCCTGGTTTCTCAACAGGATAAAACCCCTAAGTTCTGTGCACACAAGCTTCCCAGTGTTGGGGCTGTCTGCATATGGGCAAGCACAGAACAGTATCTGTCCCAGCCCACAGCAGCTCAGCTGTCACCAGGGACCGCAGGAGTGTGGGAGCAGAAAGGCCATCAGCTGCAGCCCTCACTCGGCCAGGACTGTACACCGCATGTCTTCACCTGGCACTGATTTCTGAGGTTCCTTTTCCTCCAAGGGCTGCAGAGGCATGAAGCCAGGCAGGAAGGCAAGAACAGCTGGGGTTCATTAATGGCAATCCAGGGTTCACTTGAAAGGACACAAGTCTTCCTCTTTGCTATTGGCTGACCCAGCAGGGCCATCGGGAGCACAGAATCTGGCATCGACCATCTATGGAAAGTTTGCCGAAAACCTCAAAACAAATGCTTTTCCTCAATGAGCAATTCAACCTTCCTTGCTCACATGCATCTTAATAAGCGTACAACTTAGAAGTGTACAACTTGGAGAATTAAGAAGTTTGCCCACAGGACAAGTTATTGGTTAAGAGTAACCTTAGGATGTGATTTTACCTCTCCCCAAATTATAAAAAATGGGACTGTAGGGATATTGATGGAGGGGTGTAATCAGAGTATACTTTGGGGTCTCAGTACTACTCCGCGTAGAGAAAGTTAATTTCAGATTCAGCCCTAGTGTGCAACAAGGCTAAGGACACATACAGCTGTTGTTGACCTGGGATAGTGGATGTCCTCTTGGCCACTAAAGCACTTACTGTGTTCAAGACCCTGCTCTAAGTGATCTCCAAAGACCAACACATTCTATTCTCTTCACAACCCTCCAAGGCCAGCACTATAATCTTCCTCATTTGACAGGTAAGGAAAGGGGGGCAAGAAGAACTTATGCAAGGTCGCAGGATGGTCACAGGCAGGGCTGAGGTT